CTCCTGTGCTGTGAAAATTTCCAAAGGTTCAGGTTCAAGTCTTTTTGTGCCCTACCCTCAGTGCAAGAGGCTCAGTGGTGGTAGCAGCAGCTGGCACTTACTCTGTGCTGGGTATCATTCTAATCATTTTTACATGGATTTGCTTATTGAGCCCCCCCTGTGTGAGGTAGGTGTTCATCTCCATTTTACAGATGAGGAAACTGAAGCACAGAGAGGTAAAGTAACTTGTACAGAGTCTCATGAAAAGTAAGTAGTGGTGCCAGGATTTGAACCCAGGTCATCTGGCTCTAGAAGTCTGGTGCCATCGACTGCCCTCTAGAGTACAGAGGTGGTGAGGGACTGACTGGAGGCCCCGCCTCCTTGCTGCAGCAGGACAGGGGCCTGGCCCTAATGGGTGCAGGTGAGGCTACATGCTCCCTCTCCCCTTGTGGTTACTGGGGTGGCTAGTGGGCCCCAGCATATGAGAGGACCTGGCTGCAGGTGCTCTATTGATTTGGATGCTGTATTTATTTGGGGGGAAGGCAACAGGGGCTGGGAGAATTCAGGGCTGGAAGAAGAAGCCCAGGGAGGCCCCCTGACTCTGTGCTGGCCTCTAAGGATGGCAAACACTGTCCTCTTTCCCTAAGTCCGGGAGAGAGGAACCGTCCCCCTGCCACCAGCTTATGCTCCTTACAGTGGTGGGTTTGCTTCTGTGGTAAGGGAGAGGAGCTGACGGCATGTACAGCGCAGATAGTTCTCCGGCGTTAAATACATTGAATCACATGAAGAGAAGGTTAGTCCCTTTTCAATTCTTTCAGTCGTGATTACATCAAAGAGAAAGTCCAATACGTTTGATGTCAATATGACTTCAAAACATCTTTGTCATTTGCCAAGCTCCTTTGGTTTTGTTTTGGTGTTGGAGGGTTTGTTTTTGGTTTGGTTTTGTTTTGTTTCTCTTTTGCAAGGGACAGCAGGTTTCAGGCGTGGAGCCTTCCCCAGGCTATAGTTTCCAACTAGAACTTAATACCCTTATTTGGTCTTCCTATTATGTACTTTTATGATTTTGCTCTATTTATGGCAAGTGATACTGGCTTCCCATTTATGGCAGTGATATAAAGTTTCCTTTTAAAACCTATTTACTTAAGTAAAAGAATGAGTGGATTTAAAGAAGAAATAAGTATATATGATGACAGGCATACACTGCAGAAATCCCAAAGGTAATGAGCAAATGCCTGAAGCTCAGGAAACGCTATCACAGAACTAACTACAGGAGGGAGGGGGCAGCCTCACCAGGACCACATCCCCCAGCCTGTGGCTCACCCCCAGGGGGAGTGTACGTACATGGGCCCATGATGAGCAGCAGAGGCAGCCCTTGACCTCAGGTCCCCATGGAGAATGAGACCCTATGCAGGAAGGGTAAAGAACTGGGCTGGCGTGATCAGTAGCAGAGCAGTGGCATTACTGAATTACTGACGGGCATGAGGGGGGCCCCTGTCTTTCTCTGGGATGGTCAGCCAAAGCAAATAGGCTACATGGAAAGATCAGTTGCAAGAAAGACCCTACTGAGTCAGGAAAACCCTGGATCCCACTTGCCTGGCAGTTGCAAAGTCCCCATCTCTGGGAAAGTTTAGGAGGAGGGTCCACAGGTACCTCCATGGACATTTCAGACCCTAAGTGCCTATGGGTGTTACAGGTGCCTGGACCCTGACTATGCCTCCTTCCGACCTCCAGGCTTCTAGATGGTCCAGTCCCAGTGAAACCAGTCAATGCCTTTCCATGCCCTGGCCACTCCGCAGGGCCCTGCAGGCAGCAAGGAGCTCAGATGCAGAGCCCATGGCATGTGGCCTCCGGAAGCCAAGAAACAGCACAATTCTCCACAGCTTTCCCCAAGTGCCAGGCACTGTGTTGTTTGTGCACTGACTTGGCACAGCAGCCCTCTGAGGGAGGTACCATCATCACCACCATTTGATAGATGAGGGAACTTGCTCAGAGATGCTGAATAACTTGCCCAGAGTTGCAGAGCAATAAATGGCCATCTTGGGATTTGAACCTAGGTCTGACAGACTCTCAGAGCCAAACTGTTAAGTAACGGGCCTGTACGGGAAGCCCTGGCACGTGGGGCACACACTCCAGTTTCCTTGCTTTGCTGCTCCCACAGAGGCTGCCATTAGGAAAGTGCTGGGCCTGCCTGTGCTAAGAGGGTCTGAAGGACCATTGGAAGCTGCATTGCCGAACCCTGGCTCACCCTTCCCTGGTGAAGCCAGGCTTCTCCTGGATGAATAGCTGGCCTAAAACCCGGGGCACAAGCTCAGTCTGGGGGCTTAGTCAGTGCTGGTTGAGGGGGTCACTGCCAATTGGCCAGATGGGCACCAAGGAGCCCTTCCTTCCTTCCTTCCTTCCTTCCTTCCCGCCTTCCTTCCTTCCTTCCTTCTTCTTTCCTTCCGTCTGCTCTGGCCTGTAACTCCATGTGTGTATGCATTCAGGGAGGGAGCCTCTTTCAGTTTCCTAGCAGGGCACCTCCCCCCTGACCTCTCCCAGGGAGGTCAGGCTTCAGCAGGGAACCTTTGCCCTGACTGGGGAGAAACAGGAGCAACCAGCCCAGCTCAGCGAGGGGCTCCCCAGTATTGCTGGGTGCTCCTGGCATTGGGTAGATTTCCCTTCATAAGCATAGGCTGGCTTCAAGGCTGTTTCTCTCCAGCCCGTGGCATCTGGACAGAGTGTCGTGGATTTCCTAAGAGCTGACCATTGATGCATCAGAGGCTTGCGCCACTGGGTTACTCAACAAGGCCCTACAGCCCTGTTTACCATGAAGGGGAAGATGGGATCTCCCCTCCCTGGCCCCAGTGCACCTCCATGTGCTGGTCCCAGAGTTTGGGACTCCTGGGTCAGCTTATGAGGACATGGCAAGGACGCTAACTTCCACAGCTCCTAGGAATGCCTGTAGTGGAAGTTGAGACTCAGCCTCTCTTTTAGTCTGTTGGTTCATGGTTCCCTAGGTGTCTCCCTCCACCCATGTCACCCTGAGCCAGACCCAGGAAAGGGGTATCTTCAACTCTTCCTGGGTTCCTGAGCACCATATTCACCACCACCATTCCCCTGGGTGCTGGCCCAATCACAAGAGTTAGAGAACAGGCCTACGCCAGCCACCTCCATCTCACCCTTCCAGACATAAAGGCTTTGACTTCAGCAATCCTGCCCAGGGCAACCTAGCTCCTTAGCCGGCTGGTGGGCAGGTCTTTCCAATGCACAGACCCTCCTGACCAGGCCTGCAACCTGGCCTCCCATCTGTCATCTCCCTCGTACACTGCACAAGGTAGTAGGGTAAATATTCATTAGCATGCCCACATTCCAGTTAAGAGTACTGAGTCTCAGAGTAGTTCAAAACTAAGATTGCTCTTGACTCCTTTCCATGGAAAGCTGCTTCGAGCCTTATCTCCCTGAGCTGGGCCCAGGAAGAGATGGGGTACCAAGCTATTTGAGTAGCCAGGACCTCTGGGGGACAAGACTCCTGGCTATGTAGATAATATAGAGCCAGGGGCTCTGAGCCTCTCTGCTAACTGGCTGCTCTGCAAGCTGGGTCCCTAGTTCTCTAGAACTCAGTTTCCCAAATTGGGGCTGCTGAACAGAGAGCAGCCCAGCTAGGGGAGGGTAAGGGAGGGGTAAGAAAATAAAAGGGCCTCTCAGTGTCATTTGGGGAGGAGGGGGCAGGGAAGGTGGTCTGTGGTGGGTTGGGTGCTGGCCTTCCTGCCTGCCAGCATCCCCTACTCCTTCTGGAAGCCACGTCCTGTCGTGGCCTTGGTGCCAAGAATGCCCCCTCCCAGCCTTAGCTGTCATCCTGGGGAGCATACAGGCTGGGGCTCAGGCAGCTCTGTCTCTGGGGTGTGGGCGCCTCCTTCTTTATCAGAGGCCCAGGCCAGCCTCCAAATTGAGATATCATGCTGCCTGCAGGCATCCATTTATTTCTGAGGTGTTTTCCAGGTTCTGTCAGCCGCCTGCTGTGCCTCTTGCCCTGTCCTTCCCCTCCGTCTCTCTGACCCACCCTTGGATCCCTGTGCCAAGCTCCCTGCCTCCCTCTGGCTCCCTGTGTGACTCACACTTTCCCTAGGCCTTCCCAACAAAGTTTAGTTCCACTGACTGCCAGCCCCCTCTTCCCTTGAGATCCAGCCTCCAAAATTCCGGGCAGGCAAGAACCAGAGGCCAGGCTATGGGCGCTAGAACCTCTGCCCTTCCCCCAGGAGCTCCTGTGTCCTGGCCAGGATGTCACCTGGACTTGTAACAGTCTGGACTTTGAAAGAAGAAAGTGGCATCTCCTTGTGTAGGGCTTGTGTTTGAGCTGAGGAAACTGAGGCCAAAAAGATGCCATAGTTATCCAAGGACCCAGAAGGTGCTCATAGCAGAGCTGGGAGTGTCCCACATCGTCCCCAGTGCCCTACATGGGTCCCTGAGTTCAGCTTCTCTATGGCACCAGGAATCAGTTGACCACTCAACTCTCAGCCATCAGAGCCTCAGGATTAGAACAAGACAGGTGCCCACGTCTGGGAGTGGACCAGTGCCCACCAATGTTGAATCAGGAATGTCACCAGGGGACAGGGCACAGGCTGAGAGTACCACACCCCCTGCACCCTATGAGATCCTGGAACCCTGAGGCAGGAGGGACAGGGAGATGCCACGGGTGTCAAAAGCATCCACTAGAACACAAGGGGGCTGGCTGTACCCACCACCTCCATCTCCTGTTCTGCAGAAGCTACTCTCGCCCTGGGCTCTCTGGGCAGAGAAGGGATGGATAGGCAGCTGCTTGAGCAGCTGTCAGAGTATAAAGATGTGCCCACCATCCAGTCAGGGCACTTGGCAGAGACGCTGCTGCCCCCTGCCAAGCGGTCCCAGCAGCCTCCCTGCCTCGGGTGGCGGTCACAGGCTGAAGGGGGCTCCCAGGATGCCCCATCCGGCCTGCAACTCCCTCCACCCCGCCCGCTGTGTTCTCCGGGTGTTCTGCCACAGCGCCCAGGCTCCGTAGACCTTACCTCGGGAGGCAGTCAAGAAGAGAGCGAAGAACACAGGCCCCCAGCGCTGGCCGCTGGCCCCCGGGACCGGGGGAACTCCCATGAAGCCGTCGGGCGCAGCAGCGTCTAGCGCAGCCCGGTGGGAGCGGGGCCGTGAGCACCTAGGGAGAACTCCTGGTACGCAGGGAGCAGATGCGGCAGCGGCCGGCCGGGAAACCTCCCTGCGAGTGAGTGAAGTAAGTACGGAGCAAGCAAGTGAAAGCGTCCGGACCCGGAGAGCCGCCCTCTCAGCCCCTCCCCCGCAGCGCCCCCAGGAGGCCGTGGGGGGGCACTGCTTTTCCGAAGGGCCCTGCGGGAGGGGGTATGCGCTGACTCGCCCATAATGGAGCCAGCCCGTTTCTCAGAGAGTCAGCTCCAATTGACCTCCAGTTTAAAGCTTTTTCCACTCTCCCCCATTCCTCTTTGGAGAGGATTAGTATTGTTGCACAGCTAGAGAAGTGTATCTATGTGTAGTTTAGCATGATACATGGTCATTATGGATTGTGTCTGCCCTCAACCACCAGCCTTGGAATTGTTTGGGGGCAGGGGCTTGTACCCTACATCCTCCGGCCCAGCCCAGCCCAGGCCATGGCATGTGGTAGGCACCCCGAGTTGTAGAATGAATGAATGAAAGAAATCTAACTTTTGTAAAGAGCTGGGTAAGTTGAAGCAGGCTTGACTGTAGATCCCAGAGCCTGCAACGTCTTGTGTACATGCACACCACACACAGAGGTAGCACAGGTGCAGGAGTACACGACGGGCTTGGCGCAGCTCTATGCTAGGACACATATGTGTGTGCACAATGGTAGTGTGTCCCAAAGAAAACCTACCCCCCGGGCCCCAGCTTCCCTTCCTGCTTTGTACCATCTTACTCCCTGTGCCTGGATGTCCTCAGGACACTCCTACGCACCCCCACCGCTAGTGCCCTGCCTTTGCACCCCACTCAGCACACTGGCACCAGGGGCAATGTCTTGTCTCTCCTCCACATTCTTCTCATCCCTCAGGGCTCAACTCAAGTCCTTCCCCTTCACAGTGTGCCTTGAACTTGCCCTGAGGGTCCCCACTCCAGTCCTTACTGTCCACGCCTCCTTCAGCAATCACACCAGGGCTGGGATTACCAACCAGTTGATCTCATGTGGGCTCATCTGCCCTCCTGAGCTACACCATGAGCTTTTGGGGGATAAAGGCCTCTCCCTGAGGTTTCTGAGTCCCTGGGCATGGAAAAGATGTTTAATGCCCTCTTATCTGAAAGGGCAAACTGATAAATAAGTAAGTGATTTCCTAAATGGAGGAGTGGAGGTGACAATGGCTAGGGCCAGGGATTGGGAAGGATGGAGGGCATAGCCATTGTACCAGTTTACCCCAGCCTGGCTGAAACTTCCAGGGGCTTTGCTGGCCCATTAGGGATCTTGAGCTCACAGGCAACCCCCAGATTAAAGGACAGAGGACAGCCAAAGTCCATCTGTGTCAAGAATCAGGGCCCTACGACTCAAGGGTAGCCAGGAATCCTGAGTGCCCAGGGGCTCCCTGATCCAAGTCAAAGGCTCTCTGATAGCTCTCAGCCCTCACCCCTGGGGCAGGAAAGGCTACAACAGAGGAAGGGTGAGTGTCATGCTGTTACTAGGTGATGTTATGCAAGCCGAGGCCCTCTGGAGCCAGGGAACCCCCCTGAGATGGGAGCCCCAGAGACTGCCAGGTCATAACCTAGATCCTTGGTCATGATCCTGACCTTATGACCCCACTTGGAGATAGCCCAGGTCCCTTTCTGCTGAGAGAGTGTGAGCTCTTCCACCCAGAGAAGGTACAAAGGCAACTGAAATCAGGTGGGTACTAAGCCCTCTTCCCACCCTAGCCATCCTGTAGCAGAGGTGGGCTCCCTTAAGGGCAAGAACCTAGATCACCTGCCCCCCCACCCTCCATCCCTTCCTGGCCTGGCCTTGCCCAAACTACCCTTGAAACCAGACTCCCTCTGCCCCAGGGCCTAGAAGGTAGGTGAGGAGAGCCTGGAATTAGGAAGAGGAGAGCAATTTCCAAACTCTTCCCCAGACGGCTAGAGTACCTGAGCCAGTCTGTGATGCTCCCCTCCACCTCCTTTCTCCCCACTACACTTTCCAGCCACTGAGCTTCCTGGATTTGCAACCTGATGAGACAGAGGCATTGCCCAAGTTATGGGCACGGTCTAGAAACTTCAAGCACTGTTTCCTCAATGCCAGGGCAGAAAGGGCTCAGCTGAGAGGTCCTTCGGGGCACTGATTTCCTCCTCACTCCAGAGGCCAAAGGAAGTCAGACCCACCTTCCCCTCCCACGCTCAGGCCTGGTCTCAGAGAGAAGAGGTCCCCTGGAGCAGCTCCTTTAAACACCCCCCACTCTCAGTTCCTGCAGCCTGCAAGATTGTTAGACCCACTTCCAGAAGTCTGGGAAAATGGGAAAATGTCAAGACCACCACCCACATCAATGAGGCTGGAATTCACCTCCTTTCCTGCAAGGTGGTGCTTCTGTGCTGACAGAATGGTTTGGACTAGGCAGGGTCCTCGTAGTAAAGAGATGGCACACTCAACTGAAGATAGTTTAATGGAGGGCCTGTTTACAGAGAGCTGGTGAAGCACCCTCAGACTAGCAACTGCAGGAAGCCATTACCACTCATATGTCCAAAAAGACAAGAGGAGATGAGGTGATTGGAGCTCAGTGAGAACTAGAGCTGTGAAAGGGGGTCACCCAGCAGGAAAAACACAGCCATTGGCAGAACTACAGTGAGGAAAGGAGTACCTCCCATTGGCCAAACCCATGTGGAAGCCAGATGGTAAGGGAGCCCAGTCGAGGCAGTCCACAGGGGTCATCCCCTCAGGTGCAGAGAATGGAGGTGGGATGAGGCGAAGGACAGAGAATACCAGGACATGGTTAACCTCTTTCTTCCATTTATCTACTCGACTTGTGAAGTGCCACATCAACCATTTCTCCTTCATACTGATCACTGAGTTCCAATTGGCTAAATATTACATGTGGTCCAATTGGACCAAGCATCAGCCAAAAATGACCAATCACAGGATAACATGTTACAGAAACTGCTGTTTCAGTGAAGCATGTTCTGTGAGCTTTATTTTTCACAGCTCGACAAATTCTGCCCATGAAATTGCCCCAAATACAATGTCCTTCTTCTTAAAAATGCTGAAAATAGGTATTTCTAGCATTTACATGAACAATGGGTGAAGCTTAAATACTGTGTTGGACTGAATACATCACTTCTTGCTTTTTGTAATCTGAATGGAGGCCTAGGGTCAGTAAGGCCCAGGCCCAGTCAAAGCTATGGTCTCAGGGTGGTTATTGGGCTTCATCTTATATACCGATTCTAATCACTAGGTCACTGGGCTGACAAGGATCCTGAGGTTGCATCTGGCCACAGCAGTGCCACGATTGATTAGTGATGTCTGCCATGGGCATGGCCATAAGAGCGTTGGTACAAATGCCATCTTGGACCTAAGCAGTTACCTAGCTTGGCTTTTGGTGGAGCCTCTGTGATTGCCTCCTCTACCAACCTGTGATTTCCCTCCCTCTCATTTTTCTCCTTTTCCTTCACCATGTTGGATCACACTGAGTGAGTTCAGCCTAGGAGAACATCCAACTGGCTCCACTTCAACCCCTCCAGCCAGCTGACCAAGGAATCTGACCACATTCTTCTCCACAGGCCACCACTCACGTGTACGTGACCATCGTGGACGAGAACGACAACGCACCTGTGTTCCAGAAGCCCCACTACGAGATCTTACTAGATGAGGGCCCAGAAACAATCAACGCTAGCCTCATCACCGTTCAGGCGCTAGACCTGGATGAGGGGCCCAATGGCACAGTTGTCTACGCCATCATTGCCGGCAACATCATCGATACCTTCCATATCAACAAACATACGGTCAGCAGCTGATGGTGGGGTTTAAGCGGAGGGTCAGCTGACTAAAGCGGTTAGAGGGGAACTCAGTGACATCACAGGAGTTAGGGGCAGAGCAAAGATGGAGTCTGGGAGGAAACTGGGAGCAGCCAGTGAGGGAAGATGAAAAGCTAGGTGGGGTGGCAACAAGGGTTCCCCCTCATGGTCAGGATGTCAGGGGCTACCTCCTGGGGTAGTCAGAGGGTGCCCCATGAAGGAGCTGTCCCAGGGTGGTCCTGACGCAGTACCCATCAATCCACCCCTGTCCCCTTCATGTATCCCCCAGGGCGTCATCAGTGCTGCTAAGGAGCTGGACTACGAAATCTGCCACGGCCGCTACACCCTGATTGTCACCGCCACAGACCAGTGTCCCATCTTGTCCCGCCGCCTCACCTCCACCACCACGGTGGGTGGGTGGGCTATAGCCCCAACTTGGGGGTGGGGGAGTATGGAGCCCAGAAAGCTCCAGTGGAGAAGAAGGGTTGGGAAAGATTGTCCAAGAGAAATACCTAAATCCAAGAGCCCTGTGCTGGTCTCAGCAACTCACACAAGCCTGCTTTGTGACTTTGAGGAGGTTACTGCACCTGTTTGTGTGACTGGATCTATCAGACAGATTATGACACCTGCCTTCCTCCCCTTCATGGGAAGAGTATAAACTCTGGTCAAACCAACAGGAGTTCATATCCCTGATCTTTCATTTCTTTGCTATGTGACTTTGGACAAGTCACTTAACCTCCCTGAGCTTCACTTTCCTGCTCTGTGAAAGGGGGATAATAAGAACTATTGCAGGGTGTGGGAGGAGCAAATGAGCTCATGTAAAATGACCATAGAATAGCAATAAATAGAAGCTCAGAGATTTATTATCAATAACATGAGTATGCCCATAAGAAGCCTTCAATAATAGCAATAACTTATCCATGCATAGCTTAAAAGGCCCTCACATCCATTGTCCTACATGATTCTTGCATCAGCCCGGGGCCATGGGGAAGGATTATTGGGTCTAGTTTCCAGATGAGGAATCTGGGCCCAGCACAGGGCTGTCTAGGGTCAGCCCCAACTAAAATTGTCCACCATCTCAGGTGCTTGTGAACGTGAATGACATCAACGACAACGTGCCCACGTTCCCCCGAGACTATGAGGGGCCATTTGAAGTCACTGAGGGCCAGCCAGGGCCCAGAGTGTGGACCTTCCTGGCCCATGACCGGGACTCGGGCCCCAATGGGCAGGTGGAGTACAGCATCGTAGATGGAGACCCTCTGGGTGAGTGGGGCCCGAGCTGGGCAGTGGAGGCAACACAATCTGAGGGCCTCATGACCCACCCTCATTCCCACTCAGGAGCAGAACGAGAAAGGAGGCCTCAAGGCAGTGAGCGCCTCCACCCAGTGTGATCGCGCCCTCTCTGAGCCTCAGTTTCCCCATACATAAGATGATGAAAATAATCTCACATGGATATGGTGAGAACATTCTGAAGTCTGGGAAGAGGCTGGTAGTCTTGGAGGGTCCCATGTTCCGTTGGGAATCAGATAGAAAATGCCTGTGTGTCATATCCAGAAAAAAGGCCCCAGGGCAGAAGAGGTGACGAGCATCCTTGTCCCGAACCTTCAGTACCCCCCAAATGCACACAGTCCGCACCAGGACTTCTCTGCACATCTCATCATCACCCATTAGGAGCCTCCACAACTACCTTGGCTGTTCTCCTCAGTCGAAGAGCAGGGTTTGTAGACAGAGCCAGTTTTCTCAAGTCAGTTTTCACTCTTTTCTGTAGAGTAGGAGTCCTAGGAATCCCAAATTCAAAGGCCTACTGAGGTCACACAGGGAACCTACTCATACATGGGGAAGGGGTCTAGGCAAGAGTAAAGGGGGTAGTGGGGGCTGTGGCAGCCACAGCTCAGCTCCTGCCAATTGTAGCCATGTCCAAACATAGGCCCAGGCGGCCAATCCTTCCCATTTTTAAAAGAAAGTGGAAAGAACTTGGACATTTCAATCTCCGTGAGACATCCTCATTTTTAATTGATCATTTGATAGTTATTGAGTATCTACCGTGTGCCAATCATATTCCAGAGGCTGAGGATACAGAACAGTACAAAGCAGACACAAATCTCTGCCCTGGTAGAACATGTGTTCCCGGTGGAGGACACACACAGCCAGCATAACGGATTAAGCAGATGACCTCATATATTAGGAGGTGCTAGGTGCTGTGGGGAAACATACAGCCTGGAGATGGGGAGTGCCAGAGTGAAGTCTACAGCGTTAGATAGGGTGCTCACGGAAGACCTGTCCAAGGAGGTGATTCAAGCAAAGACCTGAAGGAAATGAGGAGTGGGTGATGGGACACCTGGGGAAGAGCATCCCAGGCAGAGCGTGGAGTGTGCCTGACAGCAGGTAAAAAGGCCCTGTGGCTGACATGAAGTCAGGCAAAGGGACCAGTAAGGAGAGATGAGATAAGAGAGAGGTAGCGGGGCCAGATGTTGTCGGGCCCTGTGGATCATTATTAGGACTTGGCTTTTGCTCCAAGTGATGTGGGAACCTCAGGTGGGCTTTGAGCAGAGGCGGGACACGGTTTGACTTAGATTTTCACAGAACCCCACAGTTCTTGTGCTCAGAACAGGCCATCGGTGTTTAAAAAAAAAAAAATAAGGGAGTGAGGAGACCAGGCAGGAACGTGTTGTAATCATTCAGGCTGGAGATTGTAGCCAAAACCAGGGTGGCGGCAGATTGTGAGAGGTGGAGGGCTCTGCTATATTTCAAAGGTTGAGCCAACACATGTGCTGACTAATGGTATGTAGGATGTGAGAGAAAGTCAAGGATGACCCCAGAGTTTTGGCCTGAGCAACTGCAGAGAGGGGGTTGCCATTAACAGATGGGAAGGCTGAGGCAGGAGCAGGTGTGGCGGGAAAGGTGAGGTGAGGTGTCAGGTGTCAGGTAGGGGTTGCATGGACAGCCAGGAATTCAGGAGAGAGGTCCAGGCTGGAGGGAAGTATTGGGGAGTTGTCCAAGGCTAGACCTGAGAACCTGGGGTGAATTTGCAATTAAGGGGCTAAAAAACAAACCCCCTCTGTAGGGCCAGATCTGGGGCCCCCACTGACAAGAGCTTGTTGTGGTGGGTCGCTCTGTTCTGACATGCCACCCTTTCATGTCCCAAAAGTCTCCTCTCTGGCCAAGCACTGTGCCTTTCTGCTCTGAAACCAACAGAACGAGGGTCTTTCTCCTCTGCTTACTCGCGCGCACACACACAGAGTTTTTATAATTTCATAGGAGTCCTGTTCCTGTTCAGGGAGATGCCAAAGCCTGACTGCGAGGTGGGTGCCTGGTGGGCAGCTGAGCCCCTCCCAATACAGGGCCCTCTCTGTATTCAGCTTTGGGGTACAGGGCTCACATCTGCCCCCAGAGAACTGCAGACGGCTCCTTACCATGGGCCTTTGGCGTCATGAGCAAAACTCCTGGGGTTAAATCCACATATGATCAGGCTCAGCCTTCAGGATTGGGGGTCTTGTGGGGTGTCCCAGGAGACTGAGAGTCAGTCCCTAGAGGACTGAGAAAAACCTGGGATTTTTCTCAGCCTGCGGGGCTCCCTCCACCCCAGGAAGGAAGAGCAGACATTCAGAGCCCAACGATAACCACAAGGATCACCGAGCACTGCCCTCATCTCAGAATAGATAAGCGATGACCTAACGGTGTGCTGGAATGGCTCATGAGATCATGATATCCACTTTCCATAGCCCTTCCCACCTCCAGGTTCAGTGACACCATGTGGGGAACTTGAAAAATTGGCAAATGCTACAAATCAGAGCTGTTTTCTGTGGAGAGTTGGTGTAGGGACATGCCCCAGGCTACTCAGCGTCAAGGTCACCTTCCCACCACTGCAGCCAGAGCCTGGAGGGCACTCCTGGTGGTGGAGAGATATTAGGGATGACGAGCTCATGCAAGCCTCCCTAAGATGTGAGGAGGAAAACAATTTGGAAACAGGCCATATCTACCTGAGCCTCTTTTGTCAACCTCAGTCTTCTCAGCTATCCCTTCTGGTCAGACCCATTCCTTGGCCCCCTTTCTTACATCTGCATCCTCCCTGAAAGCTCCCAGTTCCTTGAGAGGGCTGGCTGGGCTCCGTTTCATACCAAAAGCTGCCATGGATTTAACACACACAGTTGGAACAGGCCTTGTACAGCACCCACACAGCCCTGCGGTGGCACCTCTTTATTAGCCCATTTTTCAGATGAGACCGTCAAGGCAAGGCTCAATAACATGACCACGGGCACACAGGAGTGACCTCAGGAGGCAGACCTGGATGTGACTGGATGGAAAGCCCCTAGCTCCAGAAGAAGTGGAGTGGGAGGACGTTCAGGCCCCGGGGCAAGCTGCTAAGGATAATTTGCAGCTGGGGACCGTTAGCCTATTCACTTCCCCCATCAAGCTGACCCTGTGGAGGCCTAGCCTGAGCCCAGCCCCTAGAGCAGCGGTTCTCAACCTTCCTAATGCCCTTAATACAGTTCCTCATGTTGTGGTGACCCCCAACCATAAAATTATTTTCGTTGCTACTCTATAACTGTAATTTTGCTACTGTTATGAATCGTAATGTAAGTATCTTTTTGTTTTCCAAAGGTCTTAGGCAAACCCTGTGAGAGGGTCATTCGACCCCCAAAGGGGTCGCGACCCACAGGTTGAGAACCGCTGCCTAGAGCCTCAGGCCTGCTCCCCGAGCCTTTAGAACCTCTTCCCTTCCTTCTTCCAAGCGGGTGGCTGGCCTTGGAGAGAGGGCAGGAGCCATCTGCTTGCACGAGGCCGGGGACTAGGACAGGGCTGGGAAGCCCCTAGAAAGGGAATCCCCAGTGCTTTGGAGACCTTGGAGTGTCAGGCTCAGGAAATCCTACAGCCTGCTGAGCTGCTGGGAGTGGAAGAGCTGGTGGGAAACCCCAACTGCAGGTGGGCCTTGTAGAGGCTGTTTTTATAAATCAGAGCAGTAGAGCTGGGGGCAGAGAAGGGTGAGGTAGGATGTGAAGGGGCAGACGGAGAACTATTTTTGGAGAGCTTGGGCCTCTGTCCTTGTTATGGCCTCATATGCTGTGTGTTTCCTGGGCAGTCAGCGCCCCATTCTGGGCCTTCCCTTCCTGTGCCCAGTCCCTGGGGGAGTACACACAGGTAACTCCCTCTTCCTCAAGCTCTCCCCACCTCTGTGATTCACCTTCCTCCCCTTTCTTCTCCTAGCCAGCTGGACTCCCATAACCCCCCCAGGCTTCTTGCCTCCTCCTCTACCCGCTCCGAGTTCTCACCCCTCCCCTCCGCACGTCCCACCCTGCTCAGCTCTGAGTGGTGGGGTCTGGGAAGACCACAAGTCCCATGGGATGCGTTGGGCTGAGACCCAGAGCCCTGGGTTGGAATCCTGACCTGTCATTAACTGGCTGGGGGAGCTTAGACAAGTCACCACCCTTCTGTGGACCCGTTTCATTTTCTATTTGTTTGTTTTTGCTATTGTATTGATCATTTCTTTATATATTTTGGATGTTAAACCCCTTATAAGATGTATGGTTTACAAATGTTTTCTCTCATTTAGTGGGTTGCCTTTTCATTTGCTGATGGCTTCATTTACTGTGCAGAAGCTTTTTAGTCTGATGTAGTCCCACTTGTTTATTTTTGCCTTTGCTTTTGCTGTCAAATCCAAAATCTCATCACCAAGGCGGAGGTCATGTTGCTTATCGCCTATGTTTTCTTCTGGAAGTTTTATGGTTTCAGCGCTTACATTCAAGTCTTCAATTCATTTTGAGTTAATTTTTGTGTATGGTGTCCGATAATGGTCCAGTTTTATTCTTTTGCATGCGGATATCCAGTTTTGCCAACACCATTTATTGAAGAGACTGTCCTTTCTTCATTGTATATTCTTGGCTCCTTTGTTGTAAGTTAATTGACCATATATGTGTGGGTTTACTTCTGGGCTCTCTATTTAGTTCTGTTGAC